TGAGGACGAGGGGGATTCTTTTTTGGTTCTTATTGCGTGGACGGGGTGTGAGGGATGAGGTGCGGGAGATGTGGGAGACACGGTTGAGGGCGTTCTCGACCACCGAGGAGGGGAAGTTACGGTCCTTGAAAAACGAGGACATCTGAGATGTACGGGAGTGGAATGCCTCATCCTGGGAGCAGATGCGGCGGAGGCGAAGGAATTGGGAATAGGGGATAGCATTTTTGCAGGAAGGTGGGTGGGAGGAGGAGTATTCTAGGTAGCTGTGGGAGTCGGTGGGCTTGAAATGAATATCGGTTTCTAGGTGGTTGCCCGATATGGAGACAGAGAGGTCCAGGAAGGGGAGAGAGGTGTTAGAGATGGTCCAGGTAAACTTAAGGTTGGGGTGGAAGGTGTTAGTGAAGTGTATGAACTGTTCGAGCTCCTCGTGGGAGCACGAGGCGGCGCCGATACAGTCATCAATGTAACGGAGGAAGAGGTGGGATTTAGGGCCGGTGTAGGTACGGAAGAGGGATTGTTCCACGTAACCTACAAAGAGGCAGGCGTAGCTTGGGCCCATGCGGGTACCCATGGCTACCCCCTTTGTCTGTAGGAAGTGGGAGGAATTGAAAGAGAAGTTGTTGAGTGTGAGGACGAGTTCGGCTAAGCGGATGAGGGTATCAGTGGAGGGGGACTGGTCGGGCCTGCGGGACAGGAAGAAGCGGAGGGCCTTGAGGCCATCTGCATGGGGAATGCAGGTGTAGAGGGACTGGACGTCCATGGTAAAGATGAGGTGTTGGGGACCGGGGAATTGGAAGTTCTGGAGGAGGTGGAGGGCGTGGGTGGTGTCACGGACATAGGTAGGGAGTTCCTGGACCAAGGGGGAGAAAATGGAGTCTAGATAGTTGGAGATCAGTTCGGTGGGGCAGGAGCAGGCGGAGACAATGGGTCGACCAGGGCATTCAGGTTTGTGATTTTCTATTTACATAGGTGAGAGTTGGCAAGTGGAACAGAAGTTAGAGGAGAGGAAAATTAGAGATTAAAGTTATGGTGGAGAAAAAACACACAAGGAGTGGTAATGGTTGTGGAGAAAATACAAAGCACATATCTAGAGTAAATATTAACTGCAGAACAGAGGGAAGCTAGTGTGCCCTTTTAAACATGTACCTCAATGCTCATTCAACACATACACAATTTTCAAGGGCTTCCTCTTTGTCTGATGGAGACCATCTCCTCAAAGCATTTCCCATTCATTTCCATTTTGTAGGTCTTCCTGAATCCACAGGCTTGCAGAGGTAGAGTATCACTGCAATTCTGAGAGCGAAGCTGCAAATACACTAACTACTGTTTCTTCCTCATCATCATTGCTGTGGGTTTGTGAGCACTTGTGTGGAGCAACATTATTAACTGGGGTTCTACCAAGTTAATTGTGTGCACAAGCTCATTCAAATCTTCAGGGGGTGAAAAACACACCTCTAACTAGAAATTGAATTTTTAAACCACTATAGCAGTGACATTTTTGTGCTTTGAAACAGAGAATTGCCTCTGTCCATTCTTTAGTTAATTTGTGAATGCAATACAATTTATTGTAAAAACAAACAAAATAATGGGTAACCAGATCCAATAAAGGTAATTGCAGATGACAAGGCGCTAGGAGGTAAAAGATGATGCAAATAGATACCACCACATTCCGAATAAAGGATAAAAAAAAAATGAAATCTTAACTCACCACTGACTGTGTAGTTCTTGTGGATGTGGTACTGGCTGGAGTTATAGTGATGCTGCTGGTCATTTTGTTGGGTGAGTTTTTAGGGGCAGTGCAGTTACGAGGGGAGCGTAGAACCGTTCCCATTGTCACCTCCTTGTTCTCGCCGCCACCAGCGACAGACAGAGGCCGAACAGTTATCAGAGAGCTGGTCTCTTCAGTGTAGCTGCTGCTGGGCCTTTTAAACTGACTGCCCAGGTGGATGTGAATCTTGTTGTCCTCGGTCGTTATGATGTTCGCGTTTGGGCTGTATCTTCGAGTCGGTGATGGCGCCGGCTGTTTCTCCGGGGACACTTTGAAAACTGCCCGTCCCGTGCCTGGTTCCTGGCCTTGATCTGGAGGGGCTGAAGACTCGGGGGCTGCCGAGGTGGAAACTGTCATGATCTGAATGGGGGAGGCGGCTCTGTCCGGACAAGCGGACGTGTCCAGAAAGGTAGCCTTGCCTCTCGCTGGAGGGGAGGTGGCCCTGGAGAAAGTGGTGATGGTAACGGGAGACACTGCTCTCTCCGGGGAGAAGGAGCTGTTTGAGGCTTTGCCTTTGGACGCGGCGACAGTGGGGGCGGGCAGGATGGTGATGCGTGGCTTCTGTTGGCCTAGGGTGGGGATAACTGTAGTGCTGGAGAAAAAGTCCTCGGCCGACGGGCTGGTGATTTCCAGAGTGGCTGTGCTGTTGCCGTGGTCAGGGGTCACCCGAATGTGCAATGGCTGGCCCTGCCTCTGGGCCACGATCACCTCCCTGGGGCTTGCACTGGCCTGGGTGGCTCTTTCGGGGCCGTTCTCCTTCTTCTTCATCCAGGGGATCCAGGATCTCCTCAGGTTTAACTCGTTGGCGGCCGGCGGGTAGCGCTCCAGCACTGAGGGCCGCTCCACGGGCTTCTTCTGTCTCAGGTTGCTCATCAGGTGGTTCTCTTCTTGGACGGACTTTCGGATAAAAACCGCGGCATTGTCTTCTTCCCCAAGCCCGTTGGACGGGCTCTCGGTCTGGACGGCAGTGGATGTAACGGGGACATCGACCATCCTTCTGCCATTGAGGCAGGGCCTCAGGGCCCGGCTGTAGCGTTTGGAAAGCTCCAGCTCCTTCGCCAAGCTGACCACCTCCTGGCCCATGTCCTTGTTTTTGCTCTCCTCTTGTTGGAACTTCTTCCGGAGGATGGAGTAATCGGCCTGCAGTTGGGAGAGCTGGTCCTCCTTGTTCATCAGCTCATGAATCTTCTCCTTGAGTGCTTGAACCTCCGCCTCCTCAAGTCGAAGCCGGTTGCGGGCCTCGGCCTCCTGGCTCAGGGCTTCTCCTTTCTCTGTAAGCTTGCCCCTGGTCATCTGCTTTTTCATTTCTTCTAGCTGCTGGGTCAAGAGATTCGCCTTGTCCTGCTCGGTCTTGAATTTCTGCTCGAGCTGATCGTATTCATCCTCAGTCTTCATCAGGTCACCTTCCACCACCTCCAACTGCTTCAATCGAGATTTCAACAGCTCGATTTCCAGCGTTAGTTCTTTTATTCTGTTATTGTCGAGTCCAGTGTCTTCCGGAAGTCTGACGATTTCTTTCTTGGTCTTATTTCGGAGGGTATCACTTTCAGCCTCTTCCACACGGTCAAGCCTCTTCTTCAACAGGCCAACTCTAAAGCTCAGCTCATTAGATTTTTGTTCTTCATCGTGGAGCTTTACCTTCAAATCATTTCTTTCATTGAGCAGGGCAGACACTTTCTCCTCCATCTCGGATTTCAATTTGAGAAGCTTCTTGCTTTCTTCGATCAGTTTTTCTGTTACCTCTGTTGTTTTATTTTGTTCCTGCATCAACTTGCTATTAAGGTCATTCACTTTCTGTTCTTCCTGATGCAACTTTTCTGCCACACTTCTCCTCTCGTCTACTAACATCACAGTAAAAGACTTCAGCTTTGTCAAGTCATCTTTCAAGAGGAATTCACTTTTTCCCAGTCTGGCCTCTGATGTTTCGAGTTCTTTCACTCGGGCTTTCACCAATTCCAACTCATTGGCCAAGTCTTTGGTCAGATTCCTTTCTTTATCTAAGCTAACATGCAACTGTGAACACTCAGATTTGCTTTTGTTAAAGGCACCTTCCAACTTTTCTAGATCAACCATTCTCTTCTGTAGTTTTTCCACTTCCAGTTTCAAGTCCTTACTGTGGAGCTCTTCCTTTTCCAATTTCTTTTTTAGTTCTCTGCCCTGATCTTCTGCCTTAGTTATCTCTTCATCTTTTCCCTCCATCTCCAGTACCCGCTTTCGCAGGTTTTCCACCTCAGCCATCAGACTGGAATTTCCACACTGCCCATGGCTAATTTTAGCCCGCAATTCCTGAAGTTCCTCCTCGGCCTTCTGTAGGCTCTTGTTAGCTTCCTCCAGCTGTTCAAGTCGGCGGTTTAAACTGGACAGCTTTTGTCGTAACTGGCGGTTCTGAGATTCTTGGGTGGCTAGTTTGGCCATCATCTCATCATGCTCCTGCAAAGACTTGGCAGACTTGTGTCCAAGTTCTGCCTCAAGCCGGATTACCTTCTGACTTTCCTCCCTAGCTCTCTCATCAAGACTTTGGAATTTCGCTTCCTCCTCTTGGAGCTTCTGGCCCAGTTCCTGCAACTTCTGCGCTTGCTGGCCGAGCTGTTCAATGTGAATCTGTCGTTCATCCACTAGCATCAGTGCAAATGATTTCAACTTGCCCAACTCCTCTCGCACTTTGCTCAATCGCTTGTTGTTCTCTTTTTCCTTCCGTGCCTGGTAGGATTTTTCTTGTTCAAGCAATTTCTTCAACCTAGGGATGAGAAAGGTTGCATGAGAATGGAATTAAAAATCATCAGGAACTGAGATTAATCATGTCTCAAGGGTCCTCTTAAGTAATTATTTTTTAAAAAATACACCTTTAAGGACAGTCTTGGTTGCCTATTGCAACTGGAAAGACGAAGAGCAATTAGCAATTAGATATGTGGCAATCAGAAGCTATGATGGTTAATTTAAACTTTCATGACAATTGGCTAATTGCTATGTTTGAACGACAACTTAAAATTTTACATCACAACAAGGGAGGGTTCTTATGGCATAGTGGCAGTGTCCCTAACTCTGAGCCAGAAGGACTGTGCTCAGGTCCTATCTGCCCCAGACTGGATGTCATAATGTGTCTGAATAGGTTGATTAAAATAAATACATCACAACAATACGCAAAGAAAACCCTGTGAGAATTGAAGTTGAAGCCGTACATGAGAGAAAGGAATAGAAGGTTATGATGATGTTGCATGAGGAAGGATGAAGAGGAAGCTGGCACTTGAGCAGAAACACTAGTTGCACAGAAATGAGTTGTTTTAGTGCTGTATCTTTTATACACCTCTTTCACCAAGATTTGAGACAGCAATCCTTACATATCTAAATTTCAAATATTCATTTGGTTAAGCTCCTGTAAAGTGTCTTAAAAACATTTTACTTTATTAAAGGCACAATAAGATATAAGATTTTGGTGGAAAAATGAGATGATAATCCAGACTCTAGGACTGATTGAAAGATTTTAATTTTTGATCAATATCTTGGCAAGCATGTAACATGAGAAATAGATATTTTCCAGCTGAAAGTCTGAATATGCAAGTCAAAGGGAATTTAGTACTCACTGGCCTCTGAAGATCAAAATGACAGTTTGAGAAAATAGTGACAAATAACTATTGTCTTTGTGACCTATAAATACCTCTATATAACTTAGCCAAGATTAAACAATTGAATTATCACTGCTAGCTCCGTGCTCACCAGCTTAAAATATTTTATTGTGACATTTCTGAATCTACCGAGAAATGAGAACAGGTATTTATTCCAGAAGGTGTGCTGATAGGTACATCCACTATTATCATTGACTGATGATTCTCCCTGATGATCCAGCATAACCGTCAAGTGTGTTATGTTATAAAGCGAAGGTTGAACCCCTGCCTCTGAGAACTAAAAGCAAAACACCCAGAGGAGCACCTTGCCCATTAATCTGAAAAAGGAGTGTGAAAAGTAGTGTAACCTGCCTTTCAGCAACTTCTAGTTGTTAATATATCCCTGATACTCACTTTAAAATCAACAAGTACCAATTTATTTATCTAACTCTAACAGTGAACAAATTAACTAAACTATTAACAAACTGAATGAACCCTTTGTAGCTACTAACAGTTCCTGAATAAAACAAGATTCTATTGGTATGCTGTTCCAATAAATACAAGTCACACCTATTTTATGAAAGTAGAATTTAGTCTGTCAAAATTACAGCCAGGTTACGTGTCTTCCAGAATATTCTGTGCCTTCTTGGTCGATTCTTCTGTCAGAAATATTTACTAGTTGTGCCATGGGAACCTTTATTATTTAGACGGTGCTTTCTCTAAGACATAGAGGAGTCTGTGAGAACCAACAATTCTGTCGAGAGTTGAGGACTGTTAGTTCTAGTGGATGGCAGTTAGCTCTTGGGCTTTGTAAACTACGCTCTTTTTATACCTTTGATAAAGTATCAATATTTCTTACAATAGGATTGGTCCTATGTTGTCAAAACCATCAGATTTAAGTTTAATAGTCTTTTGGTATCTAAGTGCCTGGTTCAAATTGATTGGCTAAATTCAAAACCTGTCTTGGTAAAAACTGCTGCTTGGCTTGCTAACTGTACGGCCTTTCGATACAAATTTTTCAGTTCAGATGATCTGTGTACATGCAAACTTTCATGCTGCTACTCAAACATCCATTTTAAATCCTGAGCATAGAAAAAGCACTTCATCTTTTAAAGGGGCCACATAATGCTTTCCCCCCTGCATTTTACAAACACCAAATTCTAACTTACTGCCTCCCAATCCACAAGTACTCCACCCAACTTCGCAACACCGCCCGCCTCAAGAAAAAGATGAATCATCATTCTGAAAAGATGGCTTTTTTTTTGTTACAACCTTAACTCCATGATATTACTAGATGCATTGCTCATTAATCTATATACACGACACTGGACACTATCGTTTCTATCTTATATTGACTTTTCTAAAACTTGTGATAAAGCATCCGTATAACATGTACAAGCTGTAAATTAAATGCTTGTAACATGAGACGCCAATGAAATAATCTGGTGTTCTTGTCCTTAAACCTTCTCAGAAATGTCAAAGGATTGTGATCGGTATACACAATCACCTCTGATGCATTGTTTGCAAAGTAAATATTAAAATGTTGAAAGGCCATTACCAAACTCAATAACCTTTTTCTGATGGTTGAATATTTTTTCTGGAGGATATTGAGGTTTTTTTTGAAAAATACCCGATTGGCCTTTCAATTCCACAATCATCCTCCTGTAACAACACAGCTCCAACAACTACATCACTTGTGTCGATGACGACTTTGAAGGATTTTTAAAAAATTTGGTGTGGCTAAAACTAGTGTGGTGGTTACACTGCTTTTAATTTCTCAAATGCCTCCTGGCATTGTTCTGTCCAGCGAAGTTTTGTGTTCTTTTTTAACAAATCCGTCAATGGTGCCAGTACACTACTAACGTTTGGTACAAATTTCCAGTAGAATCTGCTCAATCCTAAAAGTCGTGGCGCTTGCTTCTTCAGGGATGGTCTTGGCAATTCCTTGATGGCCTTTGTCTTCACGTTCTTCAGTGTTATCCGTCCGGTTCCAATGATGTGCTGTAAGAATGTCACTTCTGCCTTTGCGAATTCTGTTTTTGCCATGTTTATGACTAACTTTGCCTTCCATAGTCTCTCAAAGAGTCTGCCAAATGCTCTGTGATCTTTCCATGAATGGCTAAAGATCACTAAATCATCTATATAAACGGCACAATTAGTCAATCCTGCAACAACTCTGTTCATAAGCCTTTGAAAAGTGGCTGGTGCATTTTTCATCCCAAAGGGCATTACTTTAAATTGATATTGCCCATTTGCCATTACAAAAGCAGAAACTTCTTTCACTCTCTCTGACAAAGGTACTTGCCAGTAACTGCAAAGTAAATCCAACTTTGTGTTGCAAGTGGCTTGTCGTACTTTTTCCACACACCCAATTCCAAGGCTGGAGGACTATGAGTCGGATTTGGTCACAGCGTTGACCTTCCAATAATCTACGCAGAATTGTTGAGAACCAACATGATTGGTGAACTCCACTCACTTTGATTCATCTCTATGATGTCTTCTTGGAGCATCGCTTCCACTTTCTTCTGAACCTGCGCTACTTTGAGATAATTAGGCCTGTGAGGGTGTTGTTTTATTGGAACAGCATTTCCTACACCAATCTCATGTACTATGGAATTAGTCCTCCCCGTTCTATTTCTACATAGGCCCTCATAGCACTGTAACAAGTCTTTCAATTCAGTTTTCTGTACCTGGGACAGATAGCTCACTATCCTGTCCCATTCCTTAAGGACTTCCTCATTATTCAAATTATTCTGAGGCACATCAAAATCCAAATCATCTGGATTTGATTTCTCACTCTGAGTAGCAGTAACTAGTATTTGTTTCTCCAATTCCCTTTCCCTGTCGTAGTAAGGTTTCAGCATGTTCACGACATACCCGATTTTTTTTTTAGATAATTCACCTGATGTAACCTCTTCTCAATCTGATAGGGACTGCTAAAAATTGCCTTGAAGGGATCTTCTTCCACTGGTAACAGCACCAATTTTTTATCCCCACTGGCAAACATACGAATTTTAGATTTCTTATCTGCTTCTTGTTTCATTAGATGCTATGCCACCTTCAAATGTTGTCTAGCTAATTCACCTACTCTGTTTTAACTTTCTCTCACCTCAGATACATAATCCAATTGTAAGATCTCTGACTTCGGATCTATCAACATATCCTTAATTAATTTTAAAGGCCCTCTTATTTCGTGTCTGAATATCAATTCAAATGGAGTAAACTAAGTCGATTCATTTGGAGCATCTTTAATAGTAAATAATATAAATGGGATACCTTTATCCCAATCATTTGGGTAATCTTGGCAATAAGCCCTCAACATTGTCTTTAGAGACTGGTACCTCCTGTCCAGTGCTCCCTGGAATTTAGGATGGTATGCACTTGATTTAAAGTGTTTGGTGTCTAAACTATCCATGATCTCCTTAAGTAATTTGGCAGTAAAATTGGACGCTAGGTCTGACTCAATCTCCATGGGTAGTCCATAACGGGTAAAGAAAACAAGCCACTCCTCCACAACAATTTTTGCCTTGAGATTCCATATTGGATTTGCATCTGGAAACCTGGTAGGCACATCATTATTGTTAGCAAATGCTGGTTCCCACTTTTGGTTTTAGGGAGGGGGCATGCACAATCTATTGTAGCCCGCATAAAAGGGTCTTCAAATGCAGTAATTGACATTAAAGACACTGGTTTTATCACTGCCCGTGGCTTTCCTACCATCTGCCGTGTATGACAGGTTCGGGAAAATTCAACCACATCTTTATATAATCCAGGCCAATAAAAATGCTTTTGTATCTTAGCCTGAGTCTTCCTCACTCTTAAATGACCTCCTAGAGGTAATTTGTGCTGTCTGCAATACATCCCGTTTATATTCTATCGGCAACACAATCTGGTGCACTTCCGCACATTTCTCATCTGCACTAACCTGCCAACATCTCCATTTCCGCCTTAAAATTTTATCCTTAAAGTAATAACATTCTAGAATACATTCTGATGCATTTACCAAGTAGGCTTTATGATATAAATCCTTTATCATCTCATCTTTTTGTTGTAACTCCATTAATCTTTCAGAACTAAACACCTCTGCCTGATCCTCTACCTGCTTAGATTTTTCCTTAACCATTTCAAACAGAAT